ACTTTCTATATCTATTTCTTCCCTTTTCTATTCTCTTGTTACGTTACTATAAATTGTTTACAGAAAGTCCTTTTAACTAAGGCATTTTTGAACCTAAAGAGGAATTTATTTGTTCCTTTTTTCCTCGCATCGTTTGAGAGTCAACTTTCTCAAAGGGACTAAATTTGACAATTAACAATTGAACCACCCAAGTGGTTCTGGCACGCCCGTTTCACATCAATTTAAGATCGGATCTTAGGAGCCGATTTTAGGGTCAACATTTTTGGCACGCCCGGTGGGACCCCATCAGGTGAGCAAGTTGTAGTAAAGATGCCTCCAAAGCTAAGAGGTTCGAAAGGCGTGAACACAGGAGATAATACTGACAAAAAAAATCCACAGATTGGCACAGACGATGATGCCGACTCATCTATTCCATCTGACGTTCCTTTGAGTTAGGTACTAGAATCAATCATGCAAAGAATCGATGCCCAGCAAGCACAGATCGGCGAAGTAAGGTCCCAAATGGGAGAATCAAATCAGTTTCTGGTCGCTTAAATGAAGTCGATGATAGGGGAGATAAACCAAATGGTGCACACTCAATTTGAGAAGATGAGTCAGAAACTTGAAAATAATGTACCGGTGAATCAAAGCCGACAAGATCAGGCTGAAGCATCTCACGTCAATGAGTCCATTTTTCAGCGTTTGACGGCACCATTGGTTTATATATCCCAAGGACATTGAACAAGCACCATATTGCCAAATGCAGGGCTTGGTGTTACGATCAGCAACGTGCCAAGTCATACCTTTGGCATGCCAATGGGAAATCCGCCAATCTTGTCAAATCCATTATTGGTGACTCCTACGCCGGTGTTCCAACCATTAACAAATGATCAATCTGTGCAACGTTCCAATGAGCAGCCGATTCCACCAATGAGAAATCAGCAAGAAGGTGTTGGCAATTTGAACCAAGGCAGGGTTAATCCAGTGCTACCTCCAGCGGCTGCTGGGGGGCAAGTGAATGCCGATCCACAAAGGGAGTGGGTTAATCCATTCATTCTGCGGCACCCAAATGATCCTCCAGGAAGAAATGCAGGGATTGATAAGGCTCAGATTTTGGCTTTAATACAGGCCGAAGTAGCACAAGGTCGCAGACGTGCTCGGCCGGTATATAGAAAGCCCTATCCTGATCACATTGATGCCCATGAGTTGCCTAGAAATTATCGGTATCCCGAATTTTCTATGTACAATGGCGAAGAAAATTTCTCTACAGTGCAGCATATTGCAAGGTTCACTGCATAATGTGGAGAAGCTGGTCCTAGCCCTTGGTTAAGGATAAGGTTATTTTCTAGCTCTCTTGCCGGGGCAGCTTTTGAATGGTACAGCAATTTACCGGCTAATTCTATTCAAACATGGGATGAGATGGAGGAAGCGTTCCATACCCAATTTTACCGAACAGAGACAGAGGCTACACTGGCAAACATATCTCGATTATCTCAGTTGCCGAATGAGTCGGTTGAGACTTTTGTTGCCAGGTTCAGAAAAGTTAAGCTCAAATGCTGAGTAAGTTTGCCAGAACCAGAATACATCAAGTTGGCATTAAATGGTTTGGACATTGAACATCGCAAGAGGTTTGATGGAGTTGAGTTTTAAGATCTTTTTGATTTAGTAGACAGTGCTTCTCGGTATAAGGAAATATTGAAAGAAGAGAAAGAATGGAAGAATTCTTCTAAGGGTACTTGGTACAAGGACCCTAATTATGAGGTATTCTCGGCAGAGGTTGGAGATGAATTAGAAGTTGACGTTGCAGAGGTTGATATCAAAAAGCCATATGTTTATGAGGTGTTAGTTAAACCTAAACCAACCACGGGGGGCAATTCATCAACGTCAATATCAGCAGCAAAGAAAGGTCCTGCCGATACCGGGAAGAGTTATTCGTTCAACTTATCAAAAATAGATCAAATTTTTGATCACTTGATGGCCGATAAAATGATATCTTTGCCTAAAGGGCATAGGATTCCATCGGCAAGTGACCTGAAGGGAAAAGAGTATTGTAAGTATCATAACTCTTGGAACCATGCTACTAATGATTGTACTGTTCTACGAGGTGTATTGCAGAAAGCTATTGACGAAGGCACTTTAAAATTCCCAGAGAAAACTCCAGAGACCATGAAGGTGGACACTAATCCATTTCCAACAATCACATCTACAAATGTAATAAGCTTAGCCAAGCGAGAGAATCGGCAGGAGAAAGAGAAGATATAGGGCGAGTTCCTTTCATCAACTATGACACCTGAAAAGATGGCAGAATTGCAGAAGCAATTAAGGGAGGCTCAATTAGCCTTGATTGATAATGGTTGTTACCCAAATTACAAAGGAAAGTAACAACCAAAGGAAGACGTGCCAATGGAGGTTCAACCAACGAAGAAATGAATTCTTGAGAGGCTTATTTTCCCGTTGAAGCTTGGGGAGGAGCTTCGGTAAAGTGATTCCAGCAACAGCCATTTGAAAGCAGGAAGGCTAACTCGGCAAAGTGATATATCTAGCCGATTCATACCCAAAATCGGCATCCCAGTTTTAAGAGGCAATCACCGGTTCAGTCAGAGATTGGGTACAGAAAGGAGCTAATTCATATAGAGTATGAACTGTGAAACCAAGGACAGACTCGACTGAAGATAGATGGACTCGAGTTAATCATCCAAAGTTCCCTAAAGCTCAACAATCTCAGAATGAGGGTCTAACTCGATCTCAGAAGCGTAGAGAACAAAGGAGAAGGGCTGAGGAAAAAAGAAAAGCTGAAGGAGGAAGCAAAGTAGTACAAGCCGAGGTTATCGGCATTCTAGATAAAAATAACCCGGATGAAGAGCATCAGCCGACGTGGCCTAGACGTAACAATGAATTCAGAATTCAATTTGGCAGTTTCCCAGACGAGATGTCATGTAACATGGCATTTGTATTACCAGCAATGTTCCAAGCTCCATCGGCATCAAATGCAAATACTGAGAAGAATGAGAAGGAAACTCAGCCGATTCGGAATTTATCAATTCTTTCCTCAGAATCAGCAGAGAAGGTGGTTTTTGAAAAACCTTTGTTAGAAATGACTCAACAGCTCAGGCCTTTGTATGTTAAGGTGTGGGTAGAAGGTCAACATATTAATCGAGTCTTAGTAGACAATGGCTCGGTTTTAAATGTTATTCCAGCAAACACATTAAAGAAACTCGACAAGAGTATGGAAGATGTTATTCCTACTGATGTAGCAATTTGTGGTTTCAACGGAAGTTCTACCAGCACTAAAGGGATCCTTCCTTTAGAAGTAGAGGTTGGAGGTAGGACGTCTTATGCGGCATTTTTTATTATTGAATCCACGGCTTCCTATAATTTGTTATTAGGCCGTGATTGGATTCATCCAAACATGTGCATCCCATCATCATTACATCAAATGCTGATTTTTTGGGATGGAGATAAGGTAAAAATAGTAAATGCCGATGATAAGCCATTCGTAGCAAAAGTGTATTCTGCAGATGCTGTCTTATATGACGAAGAATATGTTCCTATCCGGTTTGTGGGAACAGGAGCCGATGGAAGACCAACCTTGGCAACCATGAGAAGAAGTCTTGCTGATCGTGAAATAGGAGAGTTCAAGCAGGAGAATTCCAGGCCGAAGGTAGAACTCCCTCGGCTTACTATAATTAAAGAAGTTATTGATGAAAGCGAAACTTGAAAGGGAAGTAGCTCGGCAGCAGGCTTTTAGGGCCGCTTGCATCAGGCTTCAAGCATACATATCCGAAAAACGGCTAGAGAAAGAAGCACTAAAAGAGCCAGGACCATCGATTAATCTTGCTGAGATCGATCGGTTCAGTAATGAAAAGTTGGATGCAATTTAGTTGGAGGACTTAGAGTTAGCACCAGCAAAGCTCGATGATCTTAAAGCAGAAACTCATGATCCGTTAAAAGAGGTGAATTTAAGCACTGATACAGAGCCTAGACCTACTTATATTAGTGCACTGTTAGAACCCAAATTACAAGCTGAGGTAATCGGCCTGTTGAAAGAATACAGTGACTGTTTTGCTTGGAACTATGAAGAAATGCTAGGTTTGTCCAAGGATTTGGTGGAACATCGGTTGCCCATTAAAGATGGCTACAAGCCATATAAACAGCTACCTCGTCGAATGTCTCAAGAAGTAGTAGACAAAGTCAAGATGGAAATCGAACAATTGTTGGATGCTGGCTTCATTCGAACTTTAAGGTATGTTGAATGGTTATCAAATATTGTCCCTGTTATAAAAAAGAATGAAAAATTACGTATATTTGTTGATTTCCGAAACATAAATTTGGCAACTCCAAAAGATGAATATCCAATGTCGATAGCCGATCAGCTGATTAATGCGACTGCAAAGCACCAAATTATGTCTTTTATGGATGGACACTCAGGCTATAATCAGATTTATATAGCCGAGGAGGACATTCCAAAGACATCTTTTAGGTGTCCCGGATCGATTGGAACTTTTAAATGGGTGGTGAAGCCTTTTGGGTTGAAGAATACTGATGCCACATATCAACGAGCCATGAATTCTATTTTTCATGATATGCCCAGCAAGTTTATAGAGGTGTACATTGATGATGTGGTGGTGAAATCAGCAACAAGAAAAGAGCATTTAATCCACCTCAAAATATCTTTTGAGAGGATGAGGGCTCATAAGCTAAAAATGAATCCAATAAAGTGTGCCTTTGGAGTATCGGCAGGAAACTTTTTGGGCTTCTTGGTTCATCAAAGGGGTATAGAGATCGATAGGAATAAAGCTAAGGCGATTATTGATGCTAGTGCACCGAGAAGCAAGAAACAGTTGCAAAGGCTACTTAGACAAGTGAATTATCTTAGGAGATTTATTGCTAATACAGCTGGGAAGTTACATGTGTTTTCTCTGCTACTTAAATTGAAGCCGATGGAAGAATTCAGATGGGATGATATTTATTAAAGGGCATTTGACCAGATTAAGCAATACTTGTCGAGTCCTTCTGTCATGATGCCACCAAGGAAGAAATGGCCGATGAAATTATACTTATCGGCTGCTGAAGAATCCATTGGAGCTATGTTAGCACAAGAGAATGAAGCAGGAAGTGAACAAGCAATATATTACCTTAGTCGAGTTTTAACTCCAGTCGAGTGTAGATATACACCGATTGAGAAATTATGTTTGGCCTTGTATTTTGTAGCAATGAAATTAAGAATCTATATGTTTCCTGTTTTGGTTTATATTGTTTGCCAAACCGATCTTATAAAGTATATGCTATCAAGGCCATTAATCACAGGCCGGATTGGCAAATGGGCTTTAGTGCTAATGGAATTCAATTTTGCATATGTTCCACAAAAGGCAATTAAAAGAAGAGTATTAGCAGATTTTCTAGCCGATCATCCCTCGCCTGAAGTTGAGTCACAAGTATTTGATGAGCTTGACTCGGCATTAATATTCATGACTCCATGGACTTTAATATTCAATGGATCAAGTACCAGTGAAGGCTCGGGTGCTGGTATAGTTATAATATCCCCAACAGGGAATCAAATTTCATTTTCCTTCTTTTTGGATTTCAGGTGCTCTAATAATCAAGCCTAGTATGAAGCATTGATTATCGACTTGGAAATTCTGCTGGAAATGGCAGTCAAAGATGTCCATATTGTGGGTGACTCGAGTTTGGTGATTAATCAAATCTCAGAAGACTTTAGATGTTTGAATTGGCAATTAAGACCATTCCATTCATTGGCAACCCAATTGGTTAACCAATTTCACAATGTGACTTTGGAATATAGACCAAGGGCCATGAATAAAATAGCTAATGATTTAGCACAGACAACTTCAAGAGTTAAGGTACCGAGTGGAATGAAGGAAAGAGTAATGAAGATTACACGCCGATCTCTTCCATCAGCTGAAACAAGAAATCTAATTATGGAAGAAGTCTTTGCCACTGATGTTGCCAAATTGGATGATGATGATTGGCGAATTCCTTACATCTTGTTCTTGCAACATCCAACTCCTAAAGCGGATCGAAGAATTAGAAGAAGCGCAGTCGATTATGTGCTCATGGATGGAGATCTTTATAAAAGATCGGCTAATGATGGTTTGTTATTTCAGTGCATTAACAAGTTTGAAGGTTTGAAGATCATGGCTGAAGTACATGAAGCGATATGTGGAGCTCACCAAGCTGGCATAAAAATGAGGTGGTTGATACGCCGGTATGGATTTTATTGGCCAGGAATGAGAAAAGATTGTATGACTTCTGCAAAAGGCTGTATAGACTGTCAAAAAGATGGTCCAATTCAGTGGGTCCCACCAATGCAGTTACTAGTTAAACCATGGCCTTTCAGAGGTTGGGCTATGGATCTAATCGGCAAGATTAATCCTCCTTCATCAAAGGGACATCATTGGATTATTCTAGCTACCGATTACTTTACTAAATGGGTAGAAGCCGAGGAATATGTATCGGTAACTCATAATACCGTTATACTATTTTTGGAGCAACAAATCTTTCACCGATTTGGATTACCGAAAACAATTGTTGCCGATAATGGATCTGTTTTCCTAGCAAATGAAGTGTTACAACTCGGCATTGATATGCAAGTAAAAATGGTTACCTCGACACCTTATTATGCTCAAGGGAATGGCCAAGCAGAAGCGTCAAATAAAGTTATGATTGAAATTATTGAAAAGATGATAAAAGACAAGCCGAGGCGTTGGCATGAGGCCCTTTCAGAAGCCTTATGGGCGTATAGAAACTCAAAAAGGACAAGTACCGGGACAACTCCATATCGGCTAACGTTTGGTCATGATGCAGTGTTACCGATGGAGTTAAACGTAAAATTGGCTAGGGTTACTTTGCAACATAATCTCATTCCTGCCAATTATAACGAAGCTATGCTTGCCGAGTTGGAAGACTTGGATGAAGTCTAGAAACTTGCTTTGGTTCACCTTATGGTTCATAAAGCAAAGGTCATGAGGGCTTACAATAAAAGGGTGAAGATCAAGTCATTTGCAGAGAGCGATATGGTTTGGCAAACAATTCTTCCACCTAGAAAGGTGGATAGGGTTTATGGCAAGTGGTCGCCTACTTGGAAGGGTCCATAATTGATTCATCAAGTATTGCGTGGAGGAGCTTATAGGTTAAAAAATCTAGATGGTAAAGTGCATGACAGGCCAATAAATGGAAGGTACCTTAAAAAATATAAGCCAACTATTTTTGAGCTTATGGAAGAAAAGAAGTTTCCAGTTAAGTCAAAATAGTTTGGATTGTGTTTTTGCCTTGATGTTTGATTTATGAATAAATAAGTATGGTTATAGAAGTTCAGTATACTTTAAAAAAGCAAAAATATCATAAAAAGACCATTCATCGCATCACATAAGACAAATTGTTCAAAACATATTACAGACCATTGAATGTTCAAATTCTGGTGAAATTACTGTGAAATTCTTCAAATTTGGCCTTGAAGTCTGCCCACAAAGCAAAAGATTGAGTAAGGGATGTTTCTGCCATGTTTTTGTTTTGTTCCAACTTCAGCATCTGTGCCTACAAAGATTTGAATTTGAGAGCTGCGGTCTCCGCTTGAACCCTTAAATTAGCCACCTTACTACCAAGCTGTGTCCTGTCCAACTGAAGTTGAGCAAGTTCGGCTTGAAGCTTCTTCTCCTTAGCATCCAGCTCAGCAGCCTCTTTCTTCAAGGATAAATGCAATTCCCTTCCTTTCTTTAAAGTTTGAGAAAGTTTTTCTTTTTCATGATACTGGGAAGAGTAGTGATCAATGGTATGGATCGATTCAGCATAAGAATTGGTCAAAGAAGGCACTCGAAGTTGAAAATTCTTGAAGAAGGTTTGATCATTCAAGGAGAATCCTGGGTAACTTCCAAGGAAATAAAGTGTCTCGGCAAGTTTATTCTTAAATGAATGAGTAAGAGACAAATCCTGTTGTAACATTTGGGACAATATCTGGATGGCTTTTGTTACTTCTGGGGGTATGTCAGAGTTGGCTCAGTTGGAGTTTCAAGAGGTTCAAGATCAGGTGAGTCAAAGACAAAATCAAATAGAGAGTCAAGGGTTGCAAAGGGGGAACTTGGGTTGGTACTAACAGGAATAGTTGGAATAGCCGAGCCTTTTTGTACCTGAAATATGTTGGGTAAGATGAGTTCACAATAATAAGTCATAAAAGAAGCATATGTATATATCATCACTTACTTCATCAGAATCCCCAATTTGTTCACCAATTGAAGCTGCAGCCAGGTTAGGGGAAGACACTGGAGACCTTGGCTTTTGTCCTATTGACACTTCAATTTTGTCTTCATCCTCAACATGATCTGTAGAAATTTCCTGAATTGATTTTTGATCTGAGAAGATTGAAGCTTTCTGCAAGTGAATGCCGATTTAGTTATATTCAAAGAGTAACATATATATATAAGATCAGGCAATAAGGAATTACATTGGGAGATTCAACAGCAGCAGGTTTTTTTCTTCTTGGATATGACCTCATCATCATGAACCTCATCATCATCGATCAATTGAAAGTTTCTTTTTGCTCTTGCCTTTTGAGTAGGTTTCCTTCCTACAGTTTTCTTTCTTGTTGTTTTCTGAAAATAAAGGATCAGTAAGAAAAGCAGTATACATTAGAATAAATATGAGGTTCAGTTGCGAGTATTACCTTAGTAGTTGAAGAGGGAGGTATACTTTGGAGGGGAACGTAGAAATCAACATGGGTTTCCTCAGACTTACTAGGTATGGATTTGTCTGGTGCATTGGAATGAATGCCTGGATTTATGATTAGTAAGCGTATAAACAGAAAGTTATATGGAAAGGAAGAGGATGTAAAACTTACTTTACCGAGAACGAGATCTGGTCCTACCTGCAGGAGGAGGACGATTTGGTGCCACATTCACTGTATTTTCTGGCTCAGGAGCAATGGAAAGAGCAATGGGTTCAATGGAGTCCAAACCTTGGAAATTAAGGGAAATGAATTTATAGGAGCCGAAAAGATTGCACACAATTTGACTGGAATCAACAGTCCTGGTAAAAGTGATATAGGATGTCCACCAATTCTCAAAATTTGGGTCAGTACGCGGTTCCTCAAGGAAGGGTTTATACTGAAACCTGTGGAGAAGCTGAGTAAATCGATTACACACATCTTGAACTTGTTCACTGTTTGAAAGCTTTACTCGCCGATGATAGTTTTTGTTACAAGAAAAATGGGGAAGTACTGGGATCATTTGAGTTAGTCTAAATTACCGGGCCAACTGAGCTGGGTTGTAAAATTCAACCCCAGTTCAGCTCTTGGGCAAATGTGGAGTGACAGTATTGCAAGGTATATCTCTCGCAATCAAGAAATGGCCTCATGAATTGGTATAGAGTTCAATCTGTTCCGCGGAAGACTCGGTAATAGGAGGAAGGAGCTAAATGACATTTGGAGAAAGGAAGGAATTGGGATTGAGTCCTAATCTTGCATTGGTGATAGAAAAACTGAAAACAATCATTGAAGGAGTGGTCTTTGGGTTTGATTCTAGCATAAGCAAATGATAGCAAAGGATCAGTTGCAGCAGGTAGAATGGGGGAGGACAACTCAGGGAAATAGGCATGCAGCCAAAACTGGTACAACCAGAATGGGCCTCCAGATCTTGCAAAGTTGGAAGTGATAAGATCAGACAAGCCTCTATACAAGGACGCTAACAGAAAAGGGGCTAAGGCCATGGGTTTCCCTTTGAATAATGCGATAGCCAATTGGGTGAGGTCCTTGGTGATTTGGATAGCAGGAGCACACAATAAATACCTACACAACCATAAAAGTAAAAATCAGATATGTTCTTGTTCATCTATTTCAATTCCTTCTTCTCATAACATTTCTTTCAAGAATGGTCCATGTGATTGTACAAAGGGTTTTGCCCCTTTTTGTTCTGGAAAGTAAAAAGAGGTTTCTTCATTTTGAAGGAGATAATTGATTTCATCTCCTCCAGGTTTCAAACCAGTTAGAAAACAAATGTCCCTCAGTGTAGGGGCCATCATACCGCAGTGCAAGTGAAGTGCATTAGTTGTAGGGGACCAAAAGTTTAAAGAGGCAAAAAATAATGCTCGGTCAAAGGAAAAGGGAATCTTACTAAGTTGGATGAGGTCAAAGATACCCATCCTTTTCCATTGTTCTTCTTTTGTTGCTGATACACAGTCCACCCAATCATTCCATTGGGGCATCGTGGGGTGCCAATTTCTGATGGAGAGAGTCGGACGGTCTCCTTCCACTATTAAGTAGAGAGTTTTGGAGAAAGGAAGATGCGATTCGGCTTGTTGATAAATTAGAGACAAGGAAGGGGGAAATCGATTAGGGAACGCTGGGCCAAGTCCCTTAGCGTTTTCAGAGACGTCGATCAATGTGTTGGAATCTAGTTCGCTCTGATCTAGGGTTTTGATTGTGGATTTGGTTAGTTGTGTATGCGATGTTGTTTCCAGAAAAGGGTTTTCCAGGTTTAGATCACTTTGCTTCAGTTGTTTTGAAGTCATTTTGCAGAGAAAGGGTTCGACACAAAGAAGTATGGAGAAGAAAGAAGGATGATGAACAGAGAAGTCTGCAAAGAGAGCCTGTTTAGGGAAGAAACGTGTTTTTAGAGGAGACAGAGAGAATTATCACAATGTACTTAATGACAAGATGGGTTAGTGTGATCGGCATTTTTGGGAAATCTACTCCTGATATAACTCAAGAGATTATATGATGTGTATGCTAAGTTCCAATGCAATAGGTGTATTCAAATTTTGGAAGCCGAAGAGTTAAAACGGCTACCAAAATTGGGGGGCATTGTTGACACCCATTTTGGTAATTGGGTTTGGGCTTCAATTGGACTTGATGATCAATGATATAGTAATATGGGCCAAGAACATAAAGCCTGGTCAATGATGATGTGCTAGGAGTTTGGGCCGAGAAGGATATCTAGGTCATGGAAGGTGATTGGATTAAAGGTGGTTTGGAATAACATTTTAGTTGGAATAAAATCCATTAGTGCTATACATGAACAGTGACGTGGCAGTTCTCATACAAAATAACACTATATGCAAGGATGCTACATGGACAGAATATTTTTGAGCTTTATGTTAGATAAGATTTATGTGTTTACTTGATTTTTGAATTAGTATTTATCTAGGAATGTTTAGTTTGAATTTATTTTTAGTTGGGTTATTGATAAGATTAGATTTTATTTGGAATTAGTATTTAGTTAGGATTAGTTTAATTTGAATAATTATGTGGTTGTTTTAGAATATAACTAGGATGCTTGTATTTAGGAATTTGTTTTACCATTTATTCTATAAATAAATAGAGAGGCACGCTGTTCAAAAGGTTCAGCACCCTCAGAATCCTTATTATTATTTTGTTTGCTTTCTCAATCACTTTCCTTAAATAGCATCCTTGATATCTTTATCTTTCTCTCTATTTCAGTCTTTTTTCTATTTCTCTTTCTCCCTATCTCTTCTCTCTATCACTTTCTATATCTATTTCTTCCCTTTTCTATTCTCTTGTTACGTTACTATAAATTGTTTACGGAAAGTCCTTTTAACTAAGGCATTTTTGAACCCAAAAGAGGAATTTATTTGTTCCCTTTTTCCTCGCATCGTTTGAGAGTCAACTTTCTCAAAGAGACTAAAGTTGACAATTCACAATTGAATCACCCAAGTGGTTCTGGCACGCCCGTTTCACATCAATTTAAGATCGGATCTTAGGAGTCAATTTTAGGGTCAACAAACCCTTTATTCGTTTCTGTTTCTTATGAAACTCTTTTTGTTGTCTTTATTTTCATTTAAAAAAAAAAAAAAAAAAAAAAAACAGATCCCAAATGGAATTAGAAGCATTCTGGGCTTTGAGCAGTTGGGATTGTACTATTATTATCGTATTCCTATCGATTCTGGAGAAGATTTAAGAGAACCTTTGCTAGAA